ATAGTAGTCTAATGTGTATAATAACAATAATGAATAACTATGCATTGTTTTAAGATAATGTTATTTTACTTGTACAAGTTGGTGGGCAGATAACAATTTCTTTTTCTCTTCTCAGTTTGTATTTGTTGATGGCKTCTTCCTTATCTTGCTTCTCTAACATGGTGTTCAGTGGCTCTGGTCTTTCACCATCTAGCTGTTGTTCAATTCTTTTGAGTTCATTACGGGATATCATYGTCATTGTATCAAAAAGTTCATTTACATAATCTGAAATATATTAATATTCTTTGAAATATACTGACTATTTACATTTTCACCAGAATATTGAAAAACAAGCTTATWTTGACCTTTACAATTAAGCCTGTGTTAGTGTTAGTAAAGCCATGAGATATATGAGATAGAAGTGGTCGGGATTGCTATTACTTCATGATGCTTAGTAATAAAAATCAATTTATGTTAAATACTAACCATAATTAGATGGCACCTTCACTTCTCGGACTGTAGCCTGACCCTCTTTAAATTTTGGGTATACTAGCCTCAATTTTGGCACTCCTTCATCATTCACTTTAGCTTCTCTCCTCAAGTTATAATTAAAGTGTATGGCAGCCAACATTGTTCTAAAAAAAGAACATTTGTGACATGTAAACATAATGTGATCTGTATTTATAAGTTGTTCACTTGATGAGAATTCAAAGGAATGAGATTACAAGTTGATACTGAACAGACATATAACGATCACATCTTAATTGCCTGCTTGACTATTATATCTAACCTAACAAGCATTCCTAAGTATGAAAAGGCCAGCATCTTTGGTGAGAATTGGTTGACAACTGAATGGTAGCCTTCAAGGCAACTAGTCTGTGCCACTGTTGAGGTCTGCTTTATACCCTTTACTAGATTGGGTTTCTCCAAAGCCTCTTTGAGTTTTTCATAAGCATCTGAACCTTTTGTGCATAAAGAACAAAATGACTTACCACATATGAAAATGTTTACAATAATGTTGATGTAATGATAATAAGCTGATTACCGGTAGTATTGACTATATTCATTGTACATCCATGTAATAGTTAAATCTGCAATTAACTACAAGTAGTGACACTTACGTTTGTGCATCCACACACGTGGTACAGTAATTGGTGTGTRCTTACATTTGTTGAATAATGGATTTGGTATCTCTGTGTGCTTGTTTATCACATGAGATAAAAAAGAATGGAATTTTGCAACTATGACATCTCCCATTTTTTCTTCAGTGGAGGTAACAGACCAGTAGAAGTGTGAGATGCWTGCTTTCTTCCATCTTGTTATGATCTCACAATCTTTTTCTTTGCCCAGCTTTGTTAATACTTTCTGGATTTCTTKAATAATAGAGTGTGGAACATAAATATTTTTATGTCATCATAGCTATTGATGCTATTTAACATTCTGGTTTTGTGATTTCTTGATAAGCATGAAACACATTTAAGTTTAACAATTGCAATAATCATTTTTACCTCACAAGAGATATGGGCATTGTCATCTTATTTATTATTGTATATATTAAAACTTACTTTTGGCTATGTGCCATAAATCAAAAAAGTGGTTGATGGCAGGTTTCTTTAGGTTTTTACATAGTATTGGGCATTCTTCACGCATCCATTTGGTGATAGAAGTATGTCTGTCTGTAATGTAAGATTTRATAACCATATCTGTGCCTAACAAGAACTCCATGGCTTTTTGAKGACCATAATATTCCATTCCTGAACTACTGCCAGCCTGATTTGCCTGYAAAAGAAAGGTTATTTAGAATCAACAAACTGTTRGTTTATTTGAGCATAATTAGACTTTAAATGAAAKCATATTGCATGACACCATGCTGACATTATGATAATTCTATATATAGAGTGATGTTCAAAAACATGAAATATATGTTTGTGTGCTGTTCTTTTTACATTTCATGGGGTAATGTGTATGTGAAACAACATTGTTTGTTCTCTGTCAATCATTTTTTGTTGCAGTAATTTTGAATTAGTTAAAATTTGACAACATTACCTGGACAAGGACAATATCTATGATTTTGCCTGAGGTACAACAGAATSTAGAATATGTGCCATATTTGGCAGAATGCCCCATGCTATCATGGCGGGCATCTCCTGCCAGTGATACCTCTTTGCCACTTACGTCAAGGAGTAGCTTTTCCTGATAYGCTCGCCAGAATGCGACAATTGTTGGGATGAGTATATGGCGTTGGTGATAATAATATACAGAGCGGTGGTACAGCAGTAACCCCATGTGTTGAAATACAAGAGCTATTTTAGTTATTGAAGCACCAGCTCCCAGGAC